GGGGCCCAGAGGGCAGCAAACCCAAGCGCAGCCTCATGGGACTTCGGTCTGCGGAAGGTTACATGGGCGGGGGAGGGGAGACTCCGAGGCAGCGAGGGGAGGCTCACTCCAGAATCTGAAGGGGGAGCGGGAGGCAGCCTGGCAAAGAGAGGACAACGGATGACACGGCACGTGCGAAGATGGGGGGGCGGCAGAGCGCCAGCGAGGAGGAAGGCCAGGGACAGTGGCAGGCAGGTAGGGGCCAGGCCATACAAGACCACACAGAGCCTAGCGGGTCTAAGTGTGAACCTCTGCCTCACCCTCAAAGCAATGGGAAGTGCGTCTGTAAGAGACCCCTCTGGTCACAGGGGAGAGATCGAATTGGAAGGTGCCGGCACAGGTGTGCAGGGCAAGGACTAGACTCGTCCTCAGCACAGCAAGCAGCGGTTGCCCCTCGGGCGGCCCTGCACGCAGTCCGGGGCCAGAAACGGAGGCTCGCTCCGCTGCTCCGCAACCAACGCTGGAGGCTAAAGGGGCCTCCTTTCCTCGCCAAGGAGGTGCTCCAGTCCCTGCACCCAACACCGGGGTGGGGGGGAGGGGGCGGCTATTTTTCTTTAAATCTATGTGAACTGACAGATGTTAGTTAGCCTGTCGTGGCAATCATTTCGCAGTATCTGTACATCGTCACACTGTATACCTTAACTTTGCATGGGGCTACACGTCAATGAACTCGCAGTAAAATGAAGAACGTTCTGAAGAAAACCAAGGCTGTGACAATGCACAACCAGGACAGTGGCGGCCTCTGCGGAGGGGACGTGGGACGCAGCCGCTGCGCGGGAGCCCCAGGGAACGCCGCCACGCAGGCAGCTCCGTTCTGCGGCCTGGCTGCCGGTCAGGCCCCCTCGCCGCTCTGCCTCCCGGGGCTGGGCCTTTGCGGCTTTGCCTCTGTATGTGTTTCCTTGGTCAAGATGTTAAACAAATTGTAAGAAAAACTGATGGAATGAAAAAGGTAATTACATACAAATTATAATTAACACCTCTCTCAATGATTTATAGACATTGACAAAATCAGGTTAGACCGTGAATACACTGGACCTGACTGCTGTTTACACAACACTCCGCCCGACAAACCCTCTTTCCAAACACACATGGAATCCCCAGCAAGACAGACTATGTGCTGGGCCATCAAACGAGGCTCGATGCATTTTAAAGGATTAAACCTATCAGAGTATGTCCTCTAACTACAACAGGATTAAAGTATAAATCAATGATCAGTATTTGGAAAACCCCCAAGTGTTTGAAACGTAAACACATGTCAAAGTAATCAGTGGGTCAAAGAAGAAATCACGAGGAAATAAATATTTTAAACTGAATTAAAATGAAAACACGACATATCGAAATTTGTGAGATGCAGCTACCGCAGTGCAGAGAGGGAAATGCAGAGTGTTCCATTAGAAACAGTGAGAAACGAAATCAATTATTTAAGCTCCCATGTTAGAAAGCTGGAGTGGAAGTTAACCCCGAAGTATAAGAAAGTAAATAATAAAGGTAATAAAATAAAAAATTAAAAAAGACAACCAATAATTAAAATAGATGAAACCAAGGTGGGATTTTTTTATTATAAAATAACACATCACAAAAGCGTACATACACAAAAAAAGAACACACAGTGCAATGCTTTATCAGAGTGGATACCTTACAAACATCACTCGATCAAGAGACCGGACGTGACCTGCACCCAGAGCCCTTGGCACACGGCGCCCCCCGCCGGCCGCTGCCCTCTCCGTCCCTCCCGAAGTCAGCAGGACCCCGACTGTTACGCAAGTAACTTCCTTGTTTGTCATTATAATTTTACCACATAAGAATGTATCTTCAAAGTCTAGAATGGAGTTGTATCTGGTTTTTAATCTTCATACAGTTAACACAGTATTCAATGTGTTTGTTGATCATTCATGTATCTTCTTTTGTTAAATATCTGTTCAAATCTTTTTAACTGAGTTTTCTTTGAAACATTTCAACAAACTTTATAAAGCTCAAGGCGGACTACTCGAAATAAAGAGAAGAGACCCAAAGTACCAACAGTATCTGCCACGGAAGAAGGGACACAGCGACAAATCCTATAGACATGCAAAGGAATTTCTAAAAAATTATAAACAACTCTATGCTAATTAATTGGACAATCCTAGTTCACTATGTGACTAAACAAGCTAGGCGTGCAGGAATATCCCCAAACACTTGAAATGCCATACCTTTCAAAAACCTTCACAACTGCGCTTAGACGCAGGTTAACCCCTACGCCATCTGACAGAGATGACTGCACAGCAATTCGGCTCAAAGGACGCCTGTAGGTGCAGGCAGCGCGTGCCACCCACTGAGGGCTCACACTGAAGACACAGGTCGTCCCTGCAGCCACACAGGAGCTGCATCTGGTGTGGAACTCAAGGAGAAACGAACACGAATAAGACACAGCACCAGCTTTGTTAAAGATCATAACGCTATCATTTATTAAAGAAAGGGAAAAAAGCAGAAAAAGAACAGCTCTGTGATATCATGGGGGAAAAACAGCTTAATTATCAGCAATATTTGTTCTCTTTGAAAAGAGCTAGCAAAAGGCACAATCTCTGTTGTATGAAATAGTCTCAAGGGAGGAAAAGCAGCACAAATGTGTTTTTGGATATAAAAAGGCAGTTATGCAATCGGCAGCATTCAAAATTATTGACTGTCTGTACAATTACAAATTACAAAAATCAACTCATGTTTTAACAAAGTGCTTTAAAAGCTCATCATCTTAGAACAGGCACAATGTTCTGAAGGCATAAAAGTTCCCCACAGGCTTCTGAATGTCCCCACCCAAGCTTCACGATCAGAATTGACAAACGCAGCAGAAAATACGGGTTCAGAGGGCTTTTTGCGCTCCCTTTCCTTGTTCAGAGTGGCTAAGTCAAGCCCATATACTGAGGCACACAGCTATAAATCTGTATTTAACTTCAGCTGAAGGTCTGTTAGCTTTATAAGAGAAATGCTACTTGCCACAAAACTACTGCATACCTTAAAACATCAAAAAAAATCTGGGATTTTAAAATCAAAAACTACACCCGAAACCTAGCAAAGTGGTTTTCAAAGCCTCAACACTGACTTCCCGTCGGCTGTTTGCTGAAAGTGAAGCTTGAGGCCAGGCTGTGGGCGCTTGGGTGTCTGCGCCCCGCAGCCGCCCCGTCCGCGGGTGTGGGGGGCAGAGGCAGGCCCGGCCCAGGCGCCCCCCGCCCCCCGCGAAGGGCCCCCCTCCCGCAGGGCTGCAGCTCAGTTTCCAGCTCAATCCGCCACCTCTGGTCGTTCGTGCAGCGACACGAGCTGCTGCTGCCGCCGCCGCCGCCGGGCGCAGCCAAGCCAGCGTCCCCATGCCCTCTCTCAGGCACAGCCCACGTCCCAGCTGCTCGCCAGGGGGAGCGTCCCCAAGCCACTTCAGTTAAGATGCCTTCTGTGCCCTTGTTTCTTGCTCCCTGCGCACGCTGCCTGGGGTGGAGGGGAGGTGGCATGCAAGTAAGCAGTCCACACGGTCACCCTACCAGAGTGACAGACGGAAGTTCCCCGTGGACACGTTCAGCTGGGGACGGCTTTCCGGGGCACGGCCACACTGAGGAGCTGGGGACTGGGGCAGACAGTGGCCCAAGACCCCCAGCCACAGAGCTCCTGTCAACACTAGGTGCCACACACGTAGCAGCAGGGGACTTGCTCTGGATAAATTAACGGCCAGAGGTGTTCACCCCATCACCTTCCACGGTCACCAGCTATTTCTGGGACTGAATGCTGCTGCCCACCACGTGCCGAGACACCGCGCGCCCACGCCGCGCCCTGTGACCACGCGGCGCGTACCTCCCCGATGCCCTTCAACAACCGGCCCCGACGACGCGTTCCCCTTTTTAACCAGGTGAGCAACCCGAGGGCCAGAGGTGAAGTAGCTTCTTCAACTTGACACTAGTACGTGACAGGGCCACAACCCACACCCAGATGTTTGACACCCATACCCACGTTCCCCATCGCTGCACAGTACGCGCTAGCGACCCCTCACAAGGCAGCTCAGAACCCGCCGGGGAGCCGCACTCCCTCCGAGGGGCACGGTGACGGGAGAGACCCACAAGCGCCAGAGGGCGGTGGCCTTCTGCCGGGGAGGGACCCCGGCCTCAGACAGGACGCCCCCGGAGCTGAGACGGGGCCTGGAGAGCCGGCTGCTGGTACGGCCCCGCCGGGCCTGCTCACGCCTCCCGGCTCAGAGGCAAAGGCCACCAGTCTGAGGTCTCTGTGCAAGGGGCGGGGCTGGGAGTCCAGCAAGGCCACGAGCAAGGGGTCAACCGCCGCCCTTGGTGTGCAGGCCCCCGGGGGGCAGCCAGAGCTGGTGAAGGACAAAAAGGTACCACAGAGACCTCGCTCGTAGGGCAACCGTGCAGGGCCTGCGACACCCAGGCCTCTGGCGACCAGGAGAGGACGCTTGCAGGTCAGACAGCAAGGAGGTCCAGGGACCGCACGGATCAACGGGGGTGCCACAGGCCCGGGGCGCTTCCCGCAGGGAGACAGGGCAGGAGACACAGCGGTGGCGTCAAGGGAGCGGGGCCAGGAGTTGCGGGCCTGGCTGGTGAAATCAGGGACCCGGTCCCAGGAGGTGCCCCCGAGCCACACCGGGAAACGCAGGGCCGCGAGAGGCGGAGGCTGGGGCACCAGGCTCTGGGCTCGGCTCTGCCACTGGCTGCAGCTTCGGGCACATCTGGCAACTTCACCAAGCCTCGACTTCCGCCAACGCACAGAGGGACAACCCCCAGTTTGTCACGAGGCTCAATCCCCAGTTTGTCACGAGGCTCCTGTGAGGAACAGACAAGCTCGGGGACACAAAAGCCCTTTGTCTGCGGTGACGCGGCCCACGGTGTCGTCTTCTCCCAGCGTTTCCAGCACGGGCTCAAGTGCCAACACTGTGCCTGTGTAAAGGTCGCGGGCAAGGGCACCTCCGTCCTGTCGGCCCCACGGGGAGGCTGTCTCCCCCGCTCTCTCCTCTGGCCCCACGCCAGGAGAGAACGGAAAATATAACCCAGCATGGATAAACAAGGAAGAAAAAGCACAGCAGAGAACAGCAGAAACTGTCACCTAATGTCGGCTCTTATCCCAAAGGAAAAGCAGCATTTTCTCTGTTGCTTTGTTCTCTCTCTAGTTCCCAGAATTCACGAGGAACGTGAGACAGAAAAACCCAAGAGGAGAAGAGTGTGCGCCGCCACTGCGAATCCATCCTGCGGCCAGGGCGCAGCCTGCAAGAGCCGAGGTTCAAAACCCAAACCACCACCTGTCACCGAGCGCCCTTCCTGCCCCCCACAGCTGGCTCTGCGGGCTGGCGCCGCGGCCAGGGGGCCGGGTCATTGGTCCCTGGACCCAGGGAAGAAGCGTGTCCACGTCAAATGGGGCACGGGGGACGGTCTCCAAGCCGAGGGACAAGTCTACAGAGTCCCCGTGGGCCCCCAAACGCTGTCCCTCACTGCTGCACCTCTGCTGTCCCCAAAGAGGCTGCCTGCGGCCACCTGACAATGCCCAGCTCCTGAGGCTTATCTGCTGCTTAATGCGGTTTTTATTTTCGAGAATTCGGGGGAACCACACCCAACGAGGAAAGGGGTGACAAGGCTGATGGCTCTCCAGAGGATACAGAGCCCACCCCTCCTATTGTGCTACAAGACAGTTGGGACTGGGGACACGGTGAGGCCTCCAAAAGCAAACGGTTTGGGTCACCCGGACCCGCTGCGGCAAGAGGAAAGGCACATGTCTGAGAGCGAGAGGGTCAGAAGGTATTTACAAAAGTGCCCGCCTGCCTCCATCCTCGGCGCCTCCCAAAGGTTGCAAAGCTGGCTGTGCTCTATGTAAGACATGCAGAGAAACACTTCTTCACAGCGTCCCTAGGGAGAAAAACACAAAGGTAAATGGGAGGTTGTCACCCCAAGGCTTCTGAAGTGGCCGAGACCCTCCTGCAGATTTCCAGACACCCACAGGAGCCGCTGCAGAGAAGAAAGCTGCCTGACTGTGGGGCCAGGCCCCCCCCCGTCGCCGGTCGGTGGTCCGGTCCAAGTTGTAAATGCCTCATCTGCACAAGGGCGAGTCCCCCACCCACCCTGCAGGCCAGCAGTGGGAACACGTGCATGGAACAGGGCAGGCATTCGCTGAATGACGAGGGTCGTGATGGTCAAAGAAGTCAAGAGGAAAGCAGGGACCGTCAGAAAACAAGAAGTGCATCAGGACACTGCACTTTCTGGCGACCAGAACCACCGAACGCACTCAGCGAACCAGTCACTGGGCGAGTATTCATCCCAAGCAGGGAGCAGAAGCGTGCAGAGGGGCACCTTCCAGGAGGAGCTCCCGAGCACAGGGCCTGTGACAGCTCGGGGGACCCCCAAACAGGCTGCGTTGCCCTCTTCTGGCATTTGCTTCCGGGAATCAGTGGAGAGCGTGAGCCGGGGCGCTCCCTGGGCCGCTGTCTCCCCGCGCTGCGCGCAGGCCACGCTCTCACCCCGGCTCCACACCCTCTGCTCCCGTGACCCTGGGCTGAGGGCAGGGAGCCGCCCGAGGGAGGGGGCCGCAGGCGAATGCACCCGCGTGAGCAGGCGCCATTCTTTAACATCAAGATAATTCCAGAACGTTTCTTAAGACACGCTCTGCCCTGGGGTCCCTCCCGGGAGGTGCTCTGCGCAGGGCAGGGTTCTATGGCCAAATGAGGCCCCACAGCACGTCGGGGGACCTGCCAGCTGCAGCCTATTCACAAAGCCGCCCAGTGGCCTTGAGCGTGACGAGCTTTTTCAAGTTCTTATCCAATCGGTCACCCCCAGCATCTTCAAGTCACCGTCAGCAACAGATTCGGGATGCGCAGGACACAAGCCTGTTCCCCCTCCTCCTCCTCCTCCTCCTCCTCCTCCTTCTGCTCCTCCTCCTCCGCTTCCTCAGCTCACACACCGCTTTTCATTTTCTCCACAACGTTTAGGAAAAGCTTCCACTGAGTTCACAAGAATGGAAATTAAATGGTGACCTCAGAACAGTCAGTGGCTAAGAGCCCTGAATGTGCTACTTCAGGGCCTGCAGCACCAGACCCTGACACCTGAAGGGCCAACCACGGTGGCTGCCAACGAGGCCATCGGGGTCAGGGGGGTCAGGTGTGCGGCCCAAGGTCACGCTGCTGCTGAGGAACCCGGCCCTGCTTACTTCCCCTTTACAAGCTCTTCTCCGAATTGTTCCCACCAGCGAGATGCTGCAAGAACACAAGCCCCGCCTCGGAGCCTCTGCCTCTTGTTTAGTGACACCGCCTTTGAAAATCCTCCTCAAAGCACAGGCTACAAGAGCGGGAGCGCGCACCTCCACACTACAGGCCCTGGCTGAGCCCCGGGCCGCAGGAGCGGGGGCCTGGGCCGACGCCGCCCCTGGACATGCGGTGGGGAGGGGAGGGCATGACCTGGCCTGCTGATCCGTGAAGCAGGTGCACAGCCCCTGCCTGCCTGGCCCACAGGTCTCAGTTGAGACAAAGTAACAGGCAGCCCCTGCAAGCCCTCCGCACCACCGCCGAACGACAGATGTCGCCGCCCCGAGTACAGCAGGTCTTACCTCGCAAAGGGTATGAAGGAAAGGCTGTACCTGCAAAGAGAACACACACAAAAGATCAAGTTAAACAGGACAAGTACAGCAGGCAGGCGTGCGTCTGAGCCGTCAGGGCCCCCGCCCCCTGGCGTGGAGGCACATGCGCACACACGTGCCACGTACGCACGCACACGGTGCCACCGGCCCACGGGGGAGGGGGGGAGAGACATCTGTGGCAAAAGGGCCGGACGCCACACGGCCGTGGAGGCACCACTACCTCAGGCCCCAAGGCGCCTGCCCGCGGCAGCTGAGCCAGCAGGGCCGCCCGAAACGGGCAGCTCTCTGGAAGCCCTGCCCCAGGACAGCAAGCAGCCCAGCCCGGCTGTCCTCCGACATTTTACAAGCCCTCAGCAGAGTGTGACTTCTACCCGCTGGGATAAAATTTCTGCTCTGCTCCAACCCATTTTTTTTTTCTTTTAAAGAGAAAACCAAAAAACATAAAACCCCGGTCCCTACTCTGTGGATGAAAATATAAGCAAGCTATGATTCTTCAAGAGCCCAGGGCCAAAGCTCTCTTGGTGGCCCCAATGGGTTCAGCCCCACGCCCAGAAGGGAACTGCGCCGGACGGAGGCCCGTCTACCACCTCCACCCCCCGACCCCCAACCCCCATCAGGACCAGGAGGAAAAACACAAAGGGAAATGGGAGGCTGCCGCCCCTGGGCTCCTGAAGCCGCCAAGACCGCCGCCCCTCCTGCAGGCAGCCGGGCCGGGGCGTCAGGCAGTGGTTGCAGGCATCCACGGGGTCCTGGAACACGTCCCCCATGGATAAGGGGGGGCGGCTACGTAAGCAGAGAGGCATGGGTGTGTGATTACAAATTTCTGCCCCCAGAAAGCAAAAATACACCTGTGAGCAGGGACACCAGACCCTTCAGCACCTGCTACCAGCTCGGGCATCAGGCTAAAATTGGGCCGGTCTTCTTCCCCGCGTCAGACGCGCGCCGGGCCCACCCACTCGCCTACACAGCAAATCCCAAGGGCCAGTTCTGTGAAAGCACTCATTCAAAAGCCCAAAGTCACCAGCAGGAGGGAGGGTGGACGCTAAGCTCACACAGTCTCAAGACCCACTTGTGGCCGAGGAGTGTAACTGATCACTGGACGCTTAAAAAGGATCTTTTCTCTGCATCCGAGCAAACTTCCTTTCTTTTCCCAAGTAGATCAGTCTCATCTGTCCTGAAACTGCTTGGGAAATATCATCCCTTGGCAAACTTTGACAAGCAAAGAAATGGCTCAGAAGCTACAGGTCACATACCCCCTCCCTGATGTTAGGCCTGTTTGCAGGGGCCGTGAACCCCCAGCCCTCCCTGTGGTTTCAAACGACCACGTCTCCAGGAGCCCTTTGACTGGGCGAGGCCCTCAAGTGGCAGTCCCCTGGTCTTGCCAACAGGCCTCCAGCGCGGCAGCTGCTGCTACAGCCCCGTGGTTTCCAGTCGGTCCCTGCTCCTCGCCTCTTGCTGACCATGCCCTCTTTGTCCTTCCAACAGTGGTTCCTCCCTCCCCGATACAGTGTTTCCTTCCACTTTCCTTTCCCTTTCATGTCTTTCTGACTCACAGCCTCTTGCTACCTCCCCCCATAAGACTTCATAACCCTTGCTCTTGCTGGAAGCGAGTGGTTCAGTAACATTAATAACGTCTCAAAACCATCCATGAGCCCAGCAAGATGCCGCAGCAGGCAACAGGCTCCCACGGCCACTCACGCCACCTCCTGGCAGCGGGCTGAGTCAACAGCCGCCTGACTTCGCCTGCATCACTGCGGTTTCTTCACCTGGACCGGCGTCTGTGCTTCCCGCCCCCCGTCCCGCAGCACGCGGGGTTTTATCACCTTCGATGTGGCGGTCAGAGATCGGTGTGGACAGGGACACTTACCACGTCAGGGCCAAAGACTGCAGAATGCAGAAGATGAGGGCGAGCCCCCTGTTATGCCACTGAAAGAAGAACGACACGGTGCCGTGAGCGCGGGGGGCGAGTGCACAGACCAGAGAGGCGGAGCAAGACACAAAGCCAAACTTACCCAAAAGGCGGAACACAGGGTGAGCGCAAAACACAGCTGGAGGGAGAAAGGAAGCGGGATTAAGTCAATACTATGACAATGACATCATGGGGAAAACCCGTAAAGACTTACCGTTCTTGGCCAACTCACACCAATACCTAGCACCCGGATTCTGTGACAGTCGCACGGCAGCCATACACACCCTCCCTTCCCGAGCGTTTTGCCCACCTGCGCGCCCGTTTGTTTGGCAGAAGAGTTAGAATCACAGGGAAATGAAACTGGCCAATAAAACTTTGAGTAGGGTTAAAACAGGATCCTCTTCTACTTGCAGGCTTCCCCAAAATCTCTACCCAGCAAACAGTCACATTCCTGGTCCACCCACGGGCGCCTGTCTCTTGGCTCAAACACACTCAGGCAGGTTTCACAGGCACCTCTCTCTGTCTTAGCTGCTGCCAGACGCTGGACTCCAGAGAAGGAGGAGCCACCCGAGGACAGAGGTTAACAGGAGCGGCCACTCTCACTGTCAGCGAGTGAGTTCTCAGTTTCCTTGTCACCTAACACTTCCCCTGGTCCTTTCTAAGAAAGTTCTTTCCACAAGACACTGCCCAGGCCACCTCCACCCGACGGACCAAGAACCGCCAGTTCTCGGGAGTCCGTCATGCCTGTCATCTCCGTGCTCCCATGGCGGTAGTGTGGCAAGAAATACGTCCTAAGTGTTTCCTGTGAGCCCAGCTCCGTGCCCAGGGTCCTGAAGGACACAAAACAAAGAGCAAACGCGGACGTGGCCTTAGAAAACTTACCCATCTGAACGAATAAGGGGTACACGAATGGCAGTAAAAACGAAAGTGTGTTGCCCAAGTTCTAAATGTCGCAATACCGCTAATTAAGTAAAAGGCTTAATTATCGTGGCTGGGAATGATTTTGATGGTCACATGGGAGCGAAGAGCCCAAAGAAAGGGCAGGTGTGCTGGGCTGATGGGACGGACACAGGACAAGGCTGAAGGCACTGTTATCAGAGCAGGGGACAGGGGTGAGGGCGCAGGAACCACCCTCCCACCCCAAGAGAAGGAAGGCCGCGTTTTCATGTTACTGCCTCCAAGTTGCCCGGCGCCGGCTTCCTGGCTGCCCTATCGCTGTGGCCGATTTGGACGGCAGCGCCCTCTGGAGGCGCTTTATGGAACTGGCAGTACCTTAGCCCCAGAGGAAACCCCAAGCAGGGGCTCGTTACTAGAAGCCTGCTCCCAGGGCTCCGCGTCCTGGGTCCAGAAGAAAGAAGAGGCTTAGGAAGAAAAAGCGCCACAGCGCGGCCATAGAACTCCCGTCCCCGAAGCCCGGCCAAAGGCAGACTCACCAGCACCATGATGGTTGCGATCAAGCGCGTGGGCTCGAACATCCTCTTCAGCTGTTTCATTGGTCCCATGAGGAAGACGGTGCTGCAGTAAAGTCGCACAAGCCATGAGACCAGGACCGGCTGTGCTGGGCACTGGGCGCCAGCCGCCGCCGCCCCGGCCTCCGCCTCGCCCTGCACTGGGCACCGCCCCGGAGGGCCTCGGTGCGTCACTCCCACCCCCTCCATCATGCGCGGGCCGGTCATGGGGCGCTCATCACACGCGCTTCACAGACGGAGAGGCCGCAGCCCAGAGCCTGGGTTCCCATCCAGGCCGCCCAACTGGCAAGCGGCGGCGCCAGGCTGCACGCGCCCTGGGTCTGACTCCGGGGCCCTACCCGCCACCTTCTCTGTGGGCGCCACCTCCTCCTCCCCACCTGCCCATGGCGACCCACCGGCCCACCAACCAGCAAGACGCAGGCGACTTAAAGAAGAAAGCCACACCTACAGGCTTAGGTTGTTTCTGTTGACAAGCAGAGCATCTCGTTTTCCTTCCTGACCTCAGAGAGCACTTCTAACGGCGATAACATCAGCTCCAAACTGTGGACCGTCTGCTACACGCCAGCTGCCACACACGTTGCCTCATTTCACCCCCTCCCCTACTCTGTGGGTTGGGTATTATTACACTTATTTGAGAGATGAAAAAATGAAGCTGAGACAGTTAGCTGACGAATCCAAGACCACACAGCTGGGAGCTTAAGGAGCCGGCATTCAAATGCACGTCTGTTAGGTTCGGAAGCTCCCAATGACCTCCCCGGTGTGTCTTCTGTGTGAATGGAACCTGAGCAGGGGCAGGCGAGACAGAGCAGAGCCTCACGCCCACCGCGCCAGGGCTGGCCACACGCGCCGCCTGCCTCCTCACAGAAGGATCCATGCAGCATCGCCTGAACGATTGCCTCTCATAACCATGGCTTAACACAAGCCAACCAGCAGATAATGTTAGCTACCGAGTGTCCAATAAAAAGAAAAATTCAAAAAGTCAATCCGCCTCTCTTAGAAGTGACGTTTAGTTTCAACCAGAATTCAAGGCTGCATTCTCAGGTCAAGTATTCAAGCCTGCATTGGCCAATGCTCAACACGAAGCAATAGCCAAGGCTGGTCTGAAAAATCAAATGCAGCAGATACAAAAATGTAAGATTGAAGGTCAAGGCCACAAACTCCTAGACAAACCCTGGAAACAACACTTCGCTCCCTTACTATTTCCACAGGCGATGCTGTAGTCGGTCCTGTTAGCTCTACTAATGTTTCTTTTGGACCAAACAGCAGGCCCACGTACTTACTGTGCTTCGCCTTGACTCTACATTACAACCTACACTGTCTGCCCGGAGCAAACACCCCCAGGAATTGGCATGGGGGGCTTCAGAGGCACGACAGACATGCAAAGAGCAGCGTTCACTCTCGTCAGCTCGGACACACGAAGCTTTAAGGAGGTGGCCAGAGTCAGGCCCTCAGTCCTTTGTTAACATTTCCAGCCAGAAACAGCTGGTTTGGGGATAATGAGGGACAACACAGAGATGCAGCCACGTGGCCTGCACACCTGCAACCAGGCAGTTAACAAAATGCTGTGTGCGCATCACGTCGGTCTACACAGGGAAGGCACGGCCGCACGTGAAAAAGGAGGTCACTGACTCTGGAGGGCAGGAGCTGAGGAGGAGCCCGGCCTTGACAAATGAGCAAGTACGCACCAATGGCGGGGAGGGGGGCCAGGGAGACGGGAGCACGCGGGGTGGCGTTCCATGCAAGAACACGGCCCGGGCGGAGGCACAAGGCATCCAGGACAGGCAGAAGGTGCTGCATGGTGGGCTACGCTGGGGACGTGTGGGAGGGGCAAAGGCAGGTCTCAAGGGCCAGGGTTCGGACTCCACCTGAAGAGAGGGACCGGGAACCCTTGTGCAGCTCAGCAGGAGCCGTAATGAGCAGCCGGTAGGGGCAGTGAAGGAGGAAGAGGGCCGGGCAGTGCTCCCCAGCGGCCGTTCAGATGAGCAACACCCCCAGCCTGAGCTGGGCGCAGCTCCCAAGCCACCCACTGCAGGAAGCCCTCCCTGGCCCCAGGGCAGGTCAGCCCAGGCCAACTGCCCCTCCCTGAGCATCTCCCCCCACAGCCTAGTCTGCTGTTGGGCTGTGTCTGTTTGCCTGGCCGGCCAGAAGCTCTCTGGTGCCAGGGACCCAACCGTACCGGTCTTTGAACTCTCAGAGCCCAGCCAGGCATGACCAAGGCTCCTTGTGGGAGGGACAACAGCCACAGGGATGAAGGGGAAGGAGCCAGCAAGAGGGCACCCCCAGGCCTCCAGGACTCGTGATGGGGAAGGGGGTGGACACCCAGGACTTGGAGGCCATGCACTGGGACACAGGGAAAGGGAAGAGAGACGACGGGGTTCAGGGCAGCGCCCTCTGGCTGGGGCGGGACCTGCATCGTCAGCACACAGGCGTGGCCGAAGCCTCCGAGCAAACGAGCTCGGCTGGGATGCCCGGACGCAGGCGGCCTGTGGAGTGGGCGGGCGGCGCCCTGCCCTCGTGAGCAGGTCTGACGTGGTCTCGCCCTGAATAACAACAAGTTCCACCAGCAGCCGCTGGCCCGGAGAGCCGCCCTGACACGGGGGCTCCGGCTCCAGAGGCACCGCTCGAACAGGGCAGAGGGCTGTGCTGTGCGCCTTAAAGACGCATCCAGCCGCCGGGTGCCACGGTCCCCTCCTGTGTGACCACGCGCATGAGGCATCCCCGCCGTCTCCCAGGAGCATCTCAGGGTGTAAATAGGTTTTGCAATGACAGGACATGCAGGGGGTGTATCTCGACTACCTCTTTTCTCTCTGAAGCCTTCAGACTGCGGCGGGCCTGCCCCTCACCACCCCCCAACCACCGTCCGCATCCCCCCCCCATCTGATAACCAGCTGAGGGGAGACGAAAAACTGTTACCTCCCAATCGATGCGATGTTACCAAAGGTGTAAAACACTGCAAAAAGGTAGAGCCCCTTCCTGGGCACCCAGAGCAGAAGTGTACCCTGCAAGACAGAGCAGAGGGTGTCCTCTCCCTGCCACGCCCCCAGGGCCGCGCCGCCCTCGCCCCCACGAAGAGCAATAGAGAGAAGGGGTGGGCGGCAGGGCAGGGCAGGGCAGGGCAGGGCAGAGGCCAAGGAGGGAGGGGAAGCCTTACCAGCAGCGAGCAGAGGATTCCCGTGACAAAACACGCCACGAAGCCTTTGATTCTGGTGTCCCAGCTTAATGAAGACGTCTCAACCACCTGGAATGTTAAAACACAGGTTACAGACCTCTCCCAGGAGAAGGAAGCCCAGGACTAAGTTCAGGGCAGTGTGCGAATTTGTCTGGCGGGGGCGGGTGCACGGGATCCCGCCGCCCAGAGCAACGAGAGCCCTCCTGAGTGAGGGCGCCCGCGAGTCTCCTGTCCTGTGGCCGCTAACGCCTCCAGCCCGGGACACCCTGCCGCAAGCACACCCACTTCACAGACCGGAAGGCGGGACGCAGACTCGCAAGCAGCCAAGCCTCACGGCAGCCCAGGCAGAACCGGGCCCACCATGGGCAAGGCGTGAGCTCTGCCTGGCGGTGGCCCAAGAGACGGGGGTGTCCCCTGGGCACTGTCCCCCATGCCCACCAGCCACGCTCCAGCAGCTGCTTCTCCTGCTGACAGCTCTGAGGCCTCATGAGGGGGTGGGGCTCAGGCCCGGGCCCTGCTCAGGATGCGCACTGCGCGGGCCACTGCTGTCGCGCGGGCCACTGCTGTCTGCGTCGTTCCTGGGGGCAGGCGGCGGCCGGCTCACACGAGTGCGAGGCAGGTCCTAGTTAATGAGTTACCGCCCTACTCACCCCGAGGCTCTGCCACCGAGACTAGGATCTCCCAAGAGCAAAGTTCAGAGGCAGCCAAGATTTCCAGAAAAACTCCTCTAAAACAGGGGAGCCTGTGAGTAGCTTCCATGGTTTCGCCCCATGTCCAAGACGACAGCCCAGTGCCTGCACCAGAGACCTGCCTTCTCTGTCCGTGAGGCAAGGAGTCATGGCTGCTCCCGGCTGGGCACAGGCGGCAGCCGTTGAGACCTCGGGCCATCCCTACACAGCCCGGGCAGTGCGGCCAGGCCCGAGGTCCCCGCACACAGGGTCGCTCATGTGTCCAGCAGGGTGTCCACCTGGCCATGTGGCGGACACTGTTGACCCCATTCCCAGCGGCTGATGGAGGGAGGGAGGGGGTGGCCGAGGCCGCTAGGGTTACTGGACTGGCAACTCCTCAGCCTGAGGGTTCCCGGCGCAGGACCTGTTTTCAGCCCGTCTCCAAACATCCCGTCAAACCAGAAGCTCGGAGGGAGGACCAGCGGCTCCCTGAGGTGTAGCCGGCGTTGGGCCGGGACGGCCCCACCCGCACCCAGGAGCGGGCATGTAGGGCGGGCTGTCGAAGGGGTCCTCCCCCCCCATATCTGCACAGGCACGGGAAGCGGGCCCATGAGACTGCGATGCCCCCCCCCAAACACACACACACACACACACACACACAGCACCTGCAAGGTCATGTGGCAACCCATGGCCCTGCACGGAAAGGCACACGCGGGGCTGGGGACATGCAGCGGGAGCAGGGCGTTAGGACCAGCGACGCGGGCCGCCTGGCGCCATGACGGAACCTCTCCTCCAAAGGGAGCCAGGTGACGTGTGGCGGTCGCGCCCACACAACCAGGCCGGGCCCCCTGCCGGACCTGCCCAACCCCCCACCAGAACAGAGTACAGTCAAAAGCCACGCAGGACTCCCCTACTCATGCAAGAACCAGAGGACTTACCTTGCCAAGGGGGAAGGAAACAGCGCGCTGCGTGGAGGGAGAAACATGGCACAGGGTTGGGCTGGATCCGCTGCCTGAACACTTCTGGGCACCAACACGGGTATTTTAAAAGACTCAACTTTTTTTTTTCCTTAAAGGGGATACACCCTAAGGGGAAGTACCGAACTGGAATGGCCGCTGGCCTCGAGGGTACTGCATGGTCCCGAAAGCAGGACGGCGAGGTGCCAGCCTAGTTACGGGTTGCAATCTCTGGCAATAGGAAGCGGTGTGCTTCCTGCCTTCAGAAGGACAGTGACAAGTTGGTTCTGCAAGTCTCTCACGCTGAATTCCATCCGAATGTCACCCTGCTCAGCAAATGGGGGGTGGTAACGTTTCACCACTGTTCTTCCACTCTATGTGGTTGCGAGATCGTGGTCACTGGTAGGGGGAAGCTGTTGTTCCCCTTCTTCTACCCGGACTCAGGGAAAACTAAACACTTATCACACTTTTGGAAACTCGAGTCGCTAGAACAGCACCTGGATAGAACCTGGAGGTGACGCGCTCACTCGCTGTCTGATTGGCAGTGGGACACAAAGGTCCCTTTGACTCTGGGGTTTGGACAGGAGACGGGCTCTTGCCAAAATAAAGCTAAGGACCGTTCGGGAAGCAGGGCAGGTACGAGAAGAAGGTGAGGAAGGCACAGTGCCCCGTTCCCGCGCTGTCCAACCAGCTGCCGTTCCGACCTCCCTTGTCCCTGCCATCCTTTTTAAAAACGTAAAACCTGTACTTTTAGGAAGAAGTCCATGGTCCCTAAAGACTGAGACGTAGTTATGAAGACGAAACATCAGAAAACTCATCGTGAGACTCCCTCTGATTAGACGTGGCCAAGCCATTTTTAGAATCACCTCGTCTCCTGTGCAGGAGAAAAAGAACCAGCCATCCTTCTAGTGTTTGCATCCAAAGAAGGGAAGTTTTTAAGAGCACTCGCTCCCAGCGACCCGGCAGCTTACACGGTGCTCACTGTACGAGGCTGGAAGGCCCCCGCCCAACGTACCACATACGCTGAACACGGCCCCACAGAACCCTGCACTTCCGCCAGCCTTAAAACCACGGGCCACGGGAGACCACCAAGTCAGGACTGACATTTTAGAGGAGGCCCTGACCTAACACCTAAGGACAAAGCCGAAAACAAACCTGAAGATGAATTCACCCGGTTCCCAAATGCGTCCCAGGAGTTCGGACGCGGGAGGAGTCATCCAACGACCACGTGGACAGGACTCCGCACTCAGAAAGAGGAACCTGGCCGCAGCATTTTAGAGCGAGAGAGTAGCACCTGCGCTCTGTAAACTAGGTTTAACACGTGCTTGAACACCTGATGCCCGGAAGCTCTCCATGGTGTCCAACGCAGCAGGGCCGTCTTAGGTAAAAACCACCCAGCGTTCAGTTTTCCATCTGAACTACGCTGTTCCCTCTGAGGGCGCGTCCCCTGCTTCAGGATCACTTTCTGGATGTATAATAGCAGCAGCGTCCCGCTGTCCACACTCCCCTTCTGCCAAGCGTCTTCAGGGACAGAGAATGTCCCCCTCGGGAAGCCCGCTCGCTGCTGGTACAAGCCTGTTGGCTGCCTACAGGGCACACAGAGCTCTGGATACGCAGGACTGTCAGCGGCCTAAGTTTTCTTCTCCTCTGTCTGGGGTTTCGCCTGGGAGCTCGAAATAGAAGTCAGAAATCCAGAACGCAGAATTTCCAGAACTCGCGAAATTACTCCTGAGCCTTGACCAATTAAGAAGGGCAACAAACTGAAAAGAACCGACAGAGCGGTTTTGAAATGACAAAATAAAATAAAAATAGAAATGAAATGAAATGAAATGAAATAAAGCTCCACTCCCACCACACTCCATTCCTATAGTGTTACTTCCAGGTGAAGTTTGCAAGCCGAGAAGTCCGAGAGGGGTGGAGGTGCCCGCATCACGCAAAACTCGGTGACGTCAGCAACCCCGGGATGAGTGAAAGGCCCGTGGGAGAAAACCACGGGACACACTGATCGAAGTGAGAGCAAAATCAGGTGTTCGGTGGAAAGAAGATGGGGAAACTGAGGCCCGCGAGATACATGCCAAAAGTAGAGAGATGTTCATTGATTTGATTATCCAGGAAGGGAAACAAAAACCAAAGCAAAAAGTACCCAGAGGGAAACAGACACTCTGCGGGGCTTTAGAACCTAGGGCATCAGTGCCCAGATTTCTGCTCGACCAAAAACCTATCTAATCAAACAGCCAGCCAGCCCCGGGGTTCCACGGAGCCCGCGTGCAGACCGCGCGGGCGGAGGAACCAGACGCGCCCCGCCCTCAGGAGTCCTGGGTTTCGCGGAGGAGACACCATACACAACACGGCGAAGAGCGGAGCTGAGTGGGAGTGTCACACCAACAACCTCCACGGGGCGGGAAGGCGGCCAGGAGCCTCCGGGCGCGGCCTCGGAGCGCCGCGCGGAGCACGAAGAGCCCCCGGCCCAGCCCGGCCCTAACGGCCCCGGCCCAGGCCTGCGAGGCCGACCCCCGCCCCGGTGCCGCCTCCCCGCGCAGTGTTTCTGAATTTCGCTCCAGCGCCGCCCTCTCCACGCGGGGGGATGGGGCGCAGGACTCAAGTAAACAGACGCCGACGGCCGGAGCCCAGAGCCAGAGCCGGCCCAGGGGAGTCCGGACAAAGCGAGGAGCGAGGTTCCGCGCAGGGCCCGGCCGGGGATGGGAAATGGTGGTGGCGGGGAGAGGGAAGAGCAAAGCTGCTTCCCAGGAAATCCTGGAAGTCCTGCTCCTTCCCACCGCCAGCCCTGCGCCACGGCCGTTCGGGGGGAGCACTCACCTCGGCCAGGCCGCCCCGGTCCTCGGTGTCCTGGCCGCTCAGCACCTTCTTCAGCTTGTCCATCCCGGGCCGGTGCACGCCGGTGCAGCCCCTCGGCGGCCGCCGCCTGTTGCGCTGCTGAGTCCGCGGCCCTTCCGGGTGCGCGCCCCGCCCAGGTGCCCGCCCACCTGGCTGCTGCCGGCGCAGGCGCTCACCTCCGCCCCGCCCGCTGGACCAGCATGTTTTGGACGAGGGCGCCGGGACGAGCTGCGAGTGGGTCGAGGCCTCGGGGCCTGCCGTATTCCCTCCGCGTCCCCAGCGAGCAAAGCCGGGGCCCCACGGGCGGGACCGCGCACGCTCGGAGGTCGGGAGCGGGCTGGGACAGCTCTGGGACCGTGCTGTTTGGGATCAGGAGGCCACCTGGAGGCAGGGCCGTCTACACGAGCTTTGTGGACATGTTAACAGGAAAGGCGCTAATTCCCAGCGGGTGTGCGTGATTGGGACAAACCTTGGAGACCAAGTGGGACTTGAGCGGGGTGGCTGGGGAAGGAATGCCAGATGGCTGGAGTCTTTCACCGACCCCAAACTGGACCCCAGCGCTGTTGAGGCCATGCTGGAGGACTCCTCCCCCGCAGGACAGGGGCTCACAAACTGCTCGCTGGGTAAGGTCCGCAAAGCCAACTTCCAGATCAAGTTGCTCCGAGAAACAAACGCACGGACAGGTTCCCTGGAGCGGCCCCTAGTCTTTCCCCGACTCCCTCACACATGGACACTGAATGGACAGAATTTATAGGTTTTCAATACCAAGAAAAGGTCGCTGTCCCCAATCAGAGATGCGGTAAAAGAAACCTGTTATTCAGGTCAAGTTTGCTAAGCCAGAAGACAGGGACTCAGGTGGAACCCCAAAGTGTGCTCCTCCGGGACAAAAGGAAGCCTACTTTTATAAAGTTCCCGCCCTTGCCTTTGATTGGTCCACTGTTATGCAAATAAGGGATGCAATCTGATTGGCCAGCTATGGAACGGGATCTGCTCTGACTGGTCTATGTAGATGCAAATAAGGCTAGAGCTCCACAGTTCGGATTGGACAGGGCAGGTCTCAGCCCATTGGCTGAAAGGCGATTCCAGGAATTAATTTATAAGGGTGGATTCAGGTGGCACGAACCCATTGCAAGAGGCCGACACCCTTGCTGTTTCTTCCCTAAGAAGGTGGCTGTGCGCGAGGCCTCTGTTGGTAATGGTTGCGTGGCTCTGGTTATGAATTTGTGCCCAATAAACCACTAGGAATCGTTCTTGGTAGATACATTCCTTCCTGACATCCACGCCAAGAACTTGGGCCTGTTGGAAATTATACATCGACCCTGCGAAAGAGTTTGCAGAGGACCCTGTTCAAATCAGTCAAGTGGTTGTAATTACACCCCTAGGTGATTTCATCGTAGTGGGTGGTCAACATGCTTTGCTTCCTAATTTTAGTTTACACCTCTGAACTTGAAAAACAAGTGCCACTGCTTCCTGCCTCAGTTCCCTGTGGCGCAAAATTATGCCGTAAATTCAGTGTTCGCCTTGTGCGTGAATTTTGTGCCATCCCGGGGGTAGCGTGCCTGTTTAGTTATCCCTGCGGGACCCTGGGCCCGGGTTTTTCCGTCCCTGCTCCAAGGTCAGGGGCATTCGCTTGGACTCCTGTCGCAGCACCCGTAACCGTTGATTGGTTTTGTCCCGAGGCAGAGCATTTCTGACCACCACCACCTCCCCAGGCAGAGAGTTTTGCCTTTATTCCTCCCCCAGAAATCAAGGGTTTTGCCTGGGCCTGGGGTGTACGCGACTTGTTGCTCCTCCCCTCAGCAGCCTAAGACTTTTGCATCGTTCAGGGGAAGGGTCTGGGGGCGGTGGGCAGGGTTTCATGGCTACGCCCCCACCTCCTGTCTGCCTGCGCCACCAACAGGGGCTTCCCTGTGCCCGCCCCCGGCCCCCACCCCCCGCCACCCGTCTTAGAGCAGCTGGTGTAGACCCTTGAGACCTTGTGTCTCTCAGGTCCCCTTATTTGAAAGAGAGAAGAGAGAGAAGGTGAAATTCTGTAGATTATCCAGGCTTTTCTCTTTGTTAAATTAGGAGTAGCAGTCTCTTGATGCTTTCTACATTCTCCTCAGAAGCAGAACTTCTACTACAGGTGATTTTGTTACTCTCTAAAATCAGTGTTATTTCCATCATTGCACTTATTAAAATGTGTAATTATTTTGACTTTGTCTCTCCTGTTAGACTTTAACCCCATGAAGACAAAAACTGCATCTCTTCATTATTGCCATCCCCTCTAGCACCATGTAGGGTACGCAGTGCATGAAACTAAATGGAATGATACATGCAACAGGTACTTGCATTTTCAAAAACAGAAAGCATTCACTCAACACACAGAAAACACTGCTAATTGCAACATCCACAGAGTACTGGGGGACAGAAGGAGGAAGGGAAGAAGAGCCCAAAGGCTAAGCAGGGGGTATTTTCATTGATAATCTGCCTGGAGATTCTGGCCACAATGACTGGATTCAAAACATAAAGCACAAACAAGAAATGTATACCAAACCATTTTTTTAAAAAGATTTATTTAGTTAGTTTTAGAGAGCGGAAGGGAGGGAGAAAGAGAGGGAGAGAAACATCAATGTGTGGTTGCCTCTCGCACACCCCCTACTGGGGATCTGGCCCACAGCCCAGGCGTGTGCCCTGACTGGGAATCGAACCTGTGACCCCTTGCTTCGTAGGCGGGCACTCAATCCACTGAGCCACAACAGCCAGGGTCCAAACCATTTTTTAAATTAAGCTTCAAGAAAAACTGAAGTAAATGAAATAGCAAAACATTAATAATTCTTTATTGTTTATTCTTCTCTTACAAAAAGACACTTGGGACAAATAAATATAAAACGGTATGTGTCTTATTTAGCAATGGGCAAATACAGGTTTTCTTGGTATTTTCTGCAGGAATAAACTCATGACATTTTCAGATGTGCATTCTCCTAGGCACCACCCACCTTCTATAAAAAGAAAAAAAGTCAATTCTTTTAATTCCCTACAATTTTTAACAATGGAGCAAAATAAACCTGACTCAAGGACTAAGCAGCTGAATCAAGTTTAAAAGTATTTATAGATGATGCCCAGAAACTTCAACTAATGAATATTCTTACAAGTTTTTCATTTCTTATAATTTGTATGAATAAAATGTCCGTTCTGCTCAAATCTGCATGGCAAATAAAACCAAACAAAAAGCTGAGTACAATATGTATATTTTCCTGTCCTAAGAGAAATCATTAAGTACAGGTATATTTAATACAGTGAACATGCCATGTGTTTTTGTAAAGTCAACAAAATTCTGATTTCCTACACCTTACAGGTGATGCAACAGACAACAAACAAATACCTAAACCACCTGTGACCAAATTTAGCTAATACAATTAGCTAAACAACAATATACACAACAGCGCACCAGAGTTTGAGCAATAAATGACTCTTCAGTTATATTGTTTCACTAAAACTTATCATCAGGGTAACACCTGAAGAGCTTTGCTATGCTAACACTTCTTTTTAAATATTCTTATTTAATGATTTATCCATCAAAAGGGAATATGTACAATAGTTATTTCGAACCAAGAAAAAGGGGATGATATTAGTTTTAAAAATCAATTTCAAGTAATTCCTTACTTGGTGCTTTATAACCATTCTCACTTTATGAAGATCATTTAGGAAGGCAGAGAACATAAAATGTTAAGCAGGCCATCGCCAGAAGAACCAAGAGGACTTTGAATTCACGTCTATACTCCCCAGGTCTCGCATTAATGGCATCTTACTGGAGTCCCTGTGATGTCAACGACATGAATCTCAAAATAAGAAAAAAACTGGCTTTTATATTGAAGGCCTCCTGCACATCCTCCACAGCTACCTCTCAAATATGTTAAGCAGAAAATTGATGCAGTTATTTAGGGGTTGATGTAACATGTGCTAAAAACAATCCATATGAACCTTTCAAATATTTTAGGACCAACACCAACTTCAGCACTCCGTGGCTTCACTCGCTCTGCGGCTGCACGGGAGAAGGAAGCAAAGCCGGGCGGGACGTGGGAAGCGCGTCCGCAGCAGCACCCGGGGCAGAAGGCGGCCGCTCTGCGCGCGGGGCACCAGGGCCCGGCCACGTTCCCGTGCTTCCAGGGCACGGCAGCCTACCCTCTCCAAAAGCTAGGTGAATTGGTTCTATGTCTGAAACTTTCTTTAAGCTTCAAGAGCCGATTTAAATCGAGGGGGAAATGCGTCTCTCTTTAATTTGTGGGTGAAGGTTATTAAGCACGAGGTCGAGTCCCTGGGGGGCGAGTCGCGACTCTCCGGAAGCGCGACGCCCCCACGCCCAGGCTGAGCACCGTGCGGCGACAGCACGCTCGGCAGGCCCGCCGGTCACAGCGGCTGCGGCCCGGGGGTTTCACCGGGCCTTCGCGCGGGAGGGGCCAGGGTTCCACAAAGGACACAGAGTGTGCCCACTGCTCCTGAGACGCACACACATCACTGCTAGTGACGTCCCACCTCCTGACAACTCAGAAATCCGAACTGAATTCCAGGAAACATAAATCTGGAAGATGAATTTGACAATAGGCGGTACAAACAGCAACTGAGTGGAACCTGCCTGCAACAATCTTTTATTTTTTCCTTTAAGGCTACTGAAAATCTGCACACAGACAAGGCAATTAATTCTCCTAAGAAAAATACCCCTGTCCACAAAGCCAAGGTCTCCATCAGATTCCACGGTGAGCATGTGGTACGTCACATTCTATTCCACAGGCGCCTTTTCTTGCGAGTCTGCAGGGTTATGATCAATCCTTTCCGGAAATATTAGCTTCTCACAAACGGCCTCCTTGATCGGTAGGTACTGCGCTACTTCATTGGGCTCGGTGAAGAAGGAGGGCGGAACATGCTGGGAAACACAGACACCCCATCAGCACAGGCTGCGCCACGGCCCGGCCGCTCTAGAAGCGCGCGGGCGCGAAGCGCGCTGATTTTAGAATGAAGCGCGATGCAGGTGGACAAGGGGCTTCGGTAAGTGTCCCCAGTAACAACAGGCATCTTTGTTACTGACTCTTCTGCTCTGCCACTGAATGACCTCAAAGGTCCCAGGGACACGGTGTTCACAGTGCTCCCATAATGTCCTAACCACTTAACACCTCTTTTTCTTTTTTTATTTACTGAACTCTTTTCTCTTTGAATTTAACACCTCTTAATCCAGTCCTCCTTTTCCCTGTTGCTTCTGACCCCTGAAAGCACTGGTCTTTGCCCAGAGCCCAGTGTGTAGTAGCTTCTCTAACCTGCGCACACCTTGTGCCCAGACAGAAATAAGCGCCAAGGGTGAAGAAAGAATGTCAAGTGTGCCGGAGGGTGTTGCTTTTTAAACAACTTATTATAGAATCATAAATTCCAAGGAAGCCCTATACAAACCCCAGGGGAGCAAAAAAGAGAGAAATTACGCCAAAACCAACACGTCGCAGTGCGGGGTGACCGCCCTTTCGGGGGAAAGAGGAGACCGGCAGGAGGGAGCCCCGGGGCCGGCTCTGCACCTCTGGGCCTTCGCTCCCCCACAGCCACAGGCGGGAATCAGACTGGCTGGGCGGCTGGGCGGCTGCGCCTAACAGCTCTGACTGGCCTTGGGTTTGGGGCAAACTCTGTTACGTCGAGTAGGATTTCTCCTGTCGAGCCCCTTAGGTGAATGAATGGATGCAGGGATACAGATTTGGGGGGGTGGGGGGAGGGGGAGGGGGATACTGTATTTAAAATGAAACATAAAGATTCAACATCTCAAAAACTGATATTTAAATACTGTACCGTTAAATTAGCAACTTTGCTTTCTCGTGACGTATATTCTCGTAACATGTAGGTCTTGTCGGCCTATGTTTAAAAACAAAAAAAGTTGCAATGAGTTTACTTAAATTGATTGTACAGTCCTTTCTGTTACACGGGACTGCTTACACCACGGGGCAGGAGTGAAAGCGGCGTGGACTCGGGCAAGCCCCCCTCGCCCTCCAGCGAGAGAACCGCCCCTTAGCCCTCACTGGGAAGCCTGAGCTGTGCATTCCAACCCCTGCACATCCCAGTAACATCACACACAACTGAGCAAACAGGCTTCATCATCACCGCGGCAGAGAAGCACAAGCAAAGGTTTTACCTCCAAGTTCGGAACTACAGCTTTTCCATGAGCTATAAACAGCGTCACCTACCCACGGAACGGCAGCTGCTGCAACGTTCCAAGAAGAATTAATAATTTTATTCTCTCCCATTTCCACAAAATTCTTCCAACTGCTTATTTATTAAAATCACTTTTTTTTGTATTTCAGTTTTTCCCATTTAATTCTTTTTAAGTTAGGTTTTCCCATCCAAGTACTAACCAGGCCCGACCCTGCTTAGCTTCCGAGATCTGACGAGATCGGGCGCGTTCAGGGTGGTATGGCCGTAGACTAAGTTAGGTTTTGAAACAGCAATTTACTGTAGTTTTTTTGGGGGGTGGTACTTTCCAATGAAAAAAACCCACAAGATTAAACTCCCTAAAGTTTCAATCTTTTTATCAATAAGGACAGGTTAGCGCACATTGTAAAAACAAACCCAACAACAAAGTATTTGGAGCACAGCCAGCTGGGCGGCATGGGCTCTGGAAACGAGCCCGGGAGCAGAGGAAGGGCCTTGGAGCTCGGGAGAGACAGGGAGGCCGCGCCGGGGGAGGGGGGCAGGAAGGCGCAGGTGTGCTCCAAGGGACCGTTTCCTCAAACACGGGCTAAGTACGAATGAGATTTTTTAAAAGCATCCCAGCCCCGCTCCCCAGGAGGGAGTGCCTTGCGGAGCGGCTTCCGCTGCCAGGACGTTCGGGACAGAAGCAGCGCCACCTGAGCGCCTGCGGCCCACCGTGGATGAGACACAGCCATGCGACACAGCGCGAGCCCTCACTCCAGGTCCGCGCAGGCAGTGAAACAGCACAGACAGACCCTGCAGGCCACGAGCGCGTTCACCCAACGGGACGGTACCTCGTGGTAAAGCCTCGTGTCGTTCATCCTGATGAGCACGCCATCGATTCTCAAAAAAAACCGCAACAGCAGAAAAAAGCTGGAAGGCATTACTCTCTGAAAGAAAATAAAAGTGCATTAATATTTTAATGAAAACTAAATATTGCTACTGTGCTAAAATAAAAACTTTTTCATGCATCGAAGAAGGGCTGAATGAGCACTCTACAGGAATCCCTGAACTAAACGCTCTTTGTTCTAGCACCAACTAAGGCTCAAAACCTCGTTCATGTTATATTACTTAACATCCTGTAGGGAACTATAGGGGTATAGTTCCCTACAAGAGAAATATATTTTTCAAAGTCAAAAAGTATTACTGTTAAAAAGACGTATTAACACATACCTAAATAATGAGAAAATTATAATGTTCACTTTAAGAAAAGGTAGTACTTATAGTAAATGTCAATACCAGGAATACCAAAACAAAAGAACCACCTAGTTTTCGTTGCTACTTATCTTCCAGTATCCACTTCACACAAAACGAAGACGAGAGACCTTAAGCGAATGCTCCCCTCAGGGCAGCCGAAGAGGGCTCCGTGTCCCGCTGCCAAAGCCCGGTCCCAGCCCGCACAGCGCGCTCCTAACGCCCCGCCACGCGCGGCGCAGCTACCCGCCTCTGTGCCCCAAGGGTAGCCGGGGAAGAAGCCAGAGTTGCGAGGAGTGAGAATGTGGGTTCTGGCGGCAAGGAGGGAGGGGCGTGGGGCCCCCTGGTCACGAATGAGAATCCGTCTGACCATTTACTGAATCAACGCCGACTGCCTGCATGTCAAAATCTGACTGTGGCAGGTCCTGGATTTGTGTCAATGCAAAGACACAATCCCAAGGCTCCAGAAGTTTATCAAAGAGGAAAACAGGCCCATCAAATGTGCAGATGCTGTAACAGAGGAGCACGTGAGGCGCTGTTGCAGAAGGTGACAGTGAAGTGTGCCTGGGGGTGGACAAGGGACGCCAACTCGGCTGGGGGGGCCTCACGGGGCGGGGGGGCATTTTAGCTGATCTGAAAGGATAAGGCATTTAATAAAAAGTTGCAGTTGAAATTTTTCTGGAAAATGTTAAGAAACCCAATTACAACCTAATAGTCCACCAAAGCAGGTGCGCGCTAGCGGCCTATCTACCGTCCGCTCCTGTAAGTGCGCTGCCAGGGGAAGGAGTCCGCCCTCCAGAAGGGCTGGTACTTTTTGCTCTGCTTCCACTTCTGCGCTGGCAACTGAAGTGCGGTTGAATGGGAAACGGAATCCTGACCCACGGGCCCCTCCTCGAAGGACGTCCGCCTTGCTGTCTGCGCAGCCTGGCCTCCACATCGTTTTTAGTTCCAAATGTTTTCATTCAAATGAATAATAAACAAAGAGAGTACAAAGTGGCCAGGTCTTTAAAAAGTGCTTTGCTACATTCTTGACAACACACTAAGACTTGGTGAATTTTATAACGCTTATTAGCCAGGTGCACGCGAGACCCGGGCGGAACTTCGCGCATCACGGAAAGGGGGTGTGCTTCCAGGTGAGGCCCCCACTCCTGACTGACGGTGCAAAGAGACAGAAGGAAACTTTAAACAGAAATCACAATGCTCACAATTTTCACACTCAGACTGGAAACTCCATGATCGTGCAGTTCATCCTCAAACAGGAGAACTTCTTCAAAAAACTTAATCTGCTCTCGGGCTTTCAGCTTCTCAGTGTCTATGTGGTCCGCGGTGGGCACGACCTGGAAGAAGCCACGGGAGAGGGGCGCGTAAAAGGGGCGTCCGGGGCCGGAGGCACAGGGAGGGAGGTGGCTGAGGCCCTTCCACGGCCGCCGGGGCTTTCCCCGCATCAGCCGCGCTCGCCTCCGTCGCCACCGCGCCAAGGTAAAGCGAACCCCTGCCCGGACCGGGGTGGCTCGGGTGGTTGGCGTCTCGTCCTGCAAACCTAAAAGGCTCCCGGTTCGATTCCCAGGCAGGGCACCGGCCTGGGCTGCGGGCCAGGCCCCCAGTGGGGGCCGTGAGAGGCAACCACACATGGATGCTTCTCTCCCTCTTTTTCTCCTTCCCTTCCCCCACTCTCTAAAAATGAATAAATAAAATCTTTTTAAAAAAAAGTCTTGGAATCAGCACAGAGAAATAGTTAAAGCTCAGAATACAGGAGTGGCAGCAACTGAAGACAAGAATTAAGTCCCTGCTATGAGCTCCCAGCCTCCCCAGATTCTAAAAATCTCTGCAGAGACAAGGAGCCCATCCACAGCCCTCCCGCCTTAACATTTTGCTCAAACACCAACACGTGACACGGGGTCTCCAGCAACTACTTTTAGTGTAAAAGTTACAATAAAATAATTTTGTTCTCTATAATAGAATGTGATATTGAGAGAGTGTAATTTAAACCAAATTGCCCTCATTTCAGTAACACCATCATTTTTCGAAGCACAGCCAAGCTCCCAACATGAGACCTGCCCTCCCAGAGCCGCTGACCATGAAGCGACCCCGCCTCGGGCAGCGCCCGGACGGAAGGGTGCCACACACGCGTCACACAGCTGAGAGCCACCGAGAGCGCTCCCACAGGTGACCTCCCATCACAGCTCTGCGGGGAGGCGGCTGTTTCTGGTCACCCTATTTAGTGAAAAAACTGAGACTCAGATAAATAGATGAAGTCACCCCCCTGAAGTCACCCCAGGGTCACACACAGGCTCACACAAAGTCCTATTGCCGCCTATCTGTTCAGTCACAAAACTGGACGCCACTAGCTGGCAGGTTCTGTCCAAATCACCTAACATCACATAAGGGCAGACACACATCGTCATGCTTCTTGCCAGTGACAACATTAAGGCGGTTCATTGCTCCCAACCACACTTTTCATAAAAATTGCCCCCTACGGCCTTCTTTTATTTCCTGCCGGTAATAAGCAAAATCCCCTCACGTTCAGTTCTGAAGCCTCCCACAACAGAAGGAGGAGATGAAAGTAGTAGCAAAAAATAAGCCACTACTGGAAAGTTCTAATGCCAAGACTGTCTAAGACAACTGATGGCTCATAAAAGCAAAAAATAAGATTTACCTTTAACTTGAGTGATTCTCCAAGTAGCGTTCCCTTATAGTCTGTTGTATAGGTCCAATCATACGGTTTAATAACCTCCTTGGAGTGTTCGCCCTCCGTCCTCAAATAGCAAAATGGGAAGGATCAGATTTAGTGATGCAGAATAGAGCTCACCTGTACCCACACGTCACACCGCGCTGCAGTCTACAAATAATGTAAAATATCCTACTACATACACAGACTTGCCATAGCTCACTAATACAACACCTCTCCTTCTTCCTGCACGTTTACTGGGATTTAACCCGTCCCGTGCTGACGTGGTCTCTCCAGTTAGTCCGTGCACTGCCCAGGGACATGGCTGACGGGCTCAGACGGCACCGTCCAAGGTGTTTAGCACATAACAGGCTCAGAGTAAATAACTACTGACTCGACTATCAAGGAAAGCACGTTTTTATTAATTTCAAAGGTCCTCAAATTTTCAATGCAAATCATAACATTTTTCTTCAAAAACAGGAACATTATAGTACACAGTGAAAGCTACCTCTTCTCTAAAGAACAGTGAAAGCTCATAAAAGTGAACTCACATAGCTCAGCTCAACTGTAATTCAATTTAACTCAACAAGTTAAATTCAGGACAAGTTACCCTTCAGGAGGGAGGATAACTGATCTCCATCTAACAGGTGAGAAAAATAATTTTAGAATAACCCAGCTATCAAGTTTCAGAATAACAGTAGCCCTTCGTCCTAAGAAAACACACGTATCGGGGCTGACCATCTCCCGCACCCGCTTCCGCCCTGCCCACGCGCACCTGCTCTCCTGCCACTCTTCCGCGCAGGCTACTTTGAGCACCCCTTGGTAGTTGTTTACGCATCTTAACGCGTCTGTAGCGTTGAACTCGATCCCAAAGCCAGAACAGTGCTGGATTCTTAAAACGTTGTCTCCAAACATCATCTCGGGGAGGGATGGCATATGCAGTTCATCTGCTAACCTGTAACCGGAAGTCGAGGAGATCATTTATATCACGGTTAGCACTTTGCTTTCTGTCTCATCCCTACGTTGCTGAGCGAGTTAATGAACGTGATGTATTTACAAAGTCTATATATAAATGCTTCCATCATCCATTCTCTCTCTGTATATTATTATGACACTGGACTCAAGAGTGGGCTAATAAGACAAATAGAGAAATAACTACATGATATATTATCAGCTAGTGATAAGTTATACAAAAAAATAAAGCAAGGTAATGGGTGGGGGCCTATTTTAGGCGGGACAATCAGAAATTGCTTCTGAGATAGTGGAATTGGAGCCTCCAAACGACTGTGTGAGCCAGGCAATGCTCAGAGGGTTTAGGTAACTAACAATTGCGGAGCTAGGAGGCGGTAACGCCGGCCTCTTTTCAGCCGCCGGCCACAAACACTGGGCCCCGCCTCCGCCAGCCTCCTTAGAGAACAGTTAGAGTCAAAATCCTACAGAGCCGGATCACGAGTTATTAATCCACAGATGTGTTCCGATTAGCCTGAACAATACTTGAAATAGGTGCCAACAGTTATGAAGAGATAGTTGGCAAGAAAGACTGAGAGGTTTCTGAAAAATCTGGACCTCTGGTTCCTCTTTTTTGGGGAATGAGGGAAGGTCTGGCAATGCGCATGCACTGAGGGGCCGAGCTGGGCAGAGGCCGCCGCCCTTACTGGGGCCCTTTGGAAGGCTGAGTGTGCCATCCCTGTTGGAAAGTGTTTAGGTGGAGTAGCTACTCACTTCTGAAAAGAGTAGCTGTGTGTATAAACGACCATGCCCAAGACCCATCACCTCCGTCCAAACCCGGACTCTCAATTTCAGGATGAAAGGTCCGCTTCCGAACCAAAGGCAACGGCAAGAGCCGCTGCGCTCCAGCCCGAGCGCCGGCCCAGCACAGCTGAGACGGAGAAGTGGCCGTAACAAGAGCAGAGGCTTGTATCTGGCCGCTGGTGGAACTGCTGCTGTTCGGCTGCTGAGCAAGTTCCTGTTGTTTAGTCATCTCCTCGTGTACTATTAAATCTCCGTTACTTACGGCAACCAGGGTCTCTGGTCCTCCTAACCAGAAAGCACAGGTTCCGGGGAAGTGGATTTTCTAGTTACCTTATGTGCCAAATTTATTTCAATGATTTAGGAAATTGTTCAAAATGTATTACTGACTTTCCTGTGTTCTTACACAGAAAACATAAAATATTATTTAACCTTTTCTCGATTATCAGAGACCACACGTGGGACAACCTTGTAAGACGGCAGGCCCCAGCTCGACTGGGCGCGCATCACACCCCACCCCGCACATCCCCCACACCCCTGCAGCCCGGTGACACATTCGGGTGTCCCTGGAAAGAACTGCTGTCCCTAATTCACACTGCTTCAAATGCTCCCAATGCAGACTGCCCCGGCCCTGGCCAAACCGAGCATCTTAACACCATCCCTAACGCCAAGCTGCAATGGGTGTCACCAGAAAGAATGCAGGAAGCTGGGGAGTCTCTGTGGGGTTAGGACGGCCCAATTCATTAAAGGGTGCCTCCGGGACCCAATACTTCCACCAATCCGTTCGCTTAGCGCCTGCGGGCTTTTACCCCCTGGGGCAGAGCACAGCAGGAACTTTAGGGTGGGTGAGGGTTAGCCTTTCTTTTGTCATAGGAGGAAGGACTAAGTATACTCTGGCAGGCCTGTTTTAGAAATGACAAAGAAAGAGAATAAAGATCTGGAACTTGATTCCCTGTACAACTCACCATGCACCTCTTAGACAGCCTGTGAGTAGATTAGGACTGACTGCTTTGTATATGGCACCTTCTGAGTACAGGGTGCGCTACCTAACAGGGAAAGCTAGGTGGAGAGGAAAGCCCGCATGGTGGTCACGCAGTCTGTGGTGGGGTGAAGGGAACGTTTTTCTTAGTGAAGCTGCGAGGGTGTTCCAGTCATTCATTTGTTTGTAAGGAGGCAGCTCAGCAGGCTCTCCCGACTCCCCCTCTTCCCTGGCCACGCCCTCCGCCCAACAGCTCCCTTGGCCCCCTTCTCTTCAGGGAGGCGTCTAGATGCTTTTCACTCCCTCCCAAGGCTCCGTGTACGGACCCCAGGGTGATAATTCCCAAACCTGAACCCACCGACAAGTCTTTTTTTAAGCTCCAAGATAAGTACAGGGTCCAGCACAAATAACGCTTCCCCCTTTTTTCTTTACTACAAAATCTTTTACTACAAAATTGTAAGCATGTAATTCTCTAACATACCAAGATCACACTCAAGCATACTGTATGACATTTGAGGTGAAATGTTCAAATTAAAACTATGAATTACTCACCCATGGTATTACCCTACCAACCACACCCAAGCAGGCCTTCTTCCTTCTGCCGGACCCTGTACGTCCAAATGCCTCCTTTACGACCTGCACAACCCACACTTCAGCTGACTCCACTTGGCCTCTGCGCGAGGCCTGCCCGCTCCGTGTCTCTCCCCGTGGTCGGTGGCAACGAGGGCCATGCAAGAGCTCCGGCAGGCAGCTTGCCATACCCCACAGGTTCCTCCTTTCCCCTTCCTCCTCCTGCCGACTGGCCATCAAATGCAGGGGCATAACCTTCTAAAACCTCTCCTGTCCCTCCCCTCTTGCTGGTCTCCCACCCACCCTCCACATCCCCTCCAGAGGAATCCTTCAGAGCAGCGACTGTCAACCTTGGTCCCCTCACACCACACATAAGCTAATGACTGAAATTCTGCAGCACACCAAAAATATATTTTTTGCCAATCTGACAAAATTAGGCATAATTTTGATTCATTCACTATGGACGCCTATTGTTGGGTTGGCTGCTTTTTTTTTTTTTTTTTACAAGGTAAGGGAAAAGAGGTCAGTGTCCCTGGCTAAATAGTCAGGTATCTCAGGTTTTAAAAATTCTTGCGGCCCAAATCGCTGTTTCAGAGCGTACATCTGACAATGTCACTCCTTTGTATGAAATGACACCCGGTGGTGGTCAGAGGAAATGCAAAACTCCTTCGCCCGTGGCATAAAAGCCCTCTCTGGTGTCTCCACTCCGCGGGCCACCCTCACCTCTCGCTCCAGCCCCTCGGATTCCCCCGCTCGGTCCTTCCGACCAATCAGGGCTCCCCCTCTCCCCGACCCCCCTTCCCCGCTCCTCGGTCGAGATACCATATACAGATGATGATTATAGAATTGTACCCCTTACTGCCATGTAATGTTATTAACTAGTGTAACCCCAATAAATTCCACTTAGAAAAAACTTTCTTTAGTGATTCAGTTAGTTCAGGCATCACAAACGCATCACGGCTGTCGCTCTCCCTGGCCCACGAGCCCCACCGCGACCCCATCCCACCAACCTGACCCTCCTGGATGCCTTGTCCCAACAACGCCCTCACGTACCCCGCAGGAACAGCTCTCTGAATCAGTTATTCGCACTGTATTATAATCGTCTCTCTCACTAGCCCGTGAACGCCTCGAGGCAGAGGCCGTCTTTTCCCTGCCCCATCTCACGTGCCAGGCGCAACACCTAACGAGCTAAAAACCAAGCGAACGTCTCATCCCCGTTATGAACGCCAGGAAAACGGGTCAGAGCCACCTAGGAAGGAAGGGTGCAAAGGTGGCGCGGGCCGGGGCAGGTAGAGACCTGGGGCAGGTGCAGCGTCCTCCCAAACAGCCATGCGCTACTCCAACCCGGGCGGAGTGACAGCCTCACGCAGGCGGCGCCAGGCGAACCCCAACCGAGGGACGGGAAGGGTGACACGAGTATTTGCCGAGGCTGTCATCCAAGGGCCACGCCTCAGGGACCCACCTCCGCCCCAGGGAGGGTGAGGACAGCGCGGAGCCGCCCTGCCCCCAGCCCGGGCCCAGCTCCCGGCCCGCGCCCCGACCCGGCCCGGAGCCTCACTTCTCCACGTCCGCCGACTTCATGATGTGGGTCCTGACGGCCGTCAGCTTCCAGGGCCCGAAGGAGAAGTCCCGGTGGCTGCTCTGGAAGCCGTGGATCATCATGGCCGAGGCGGGGCCCGCGTGGGCCGCGCGGGACGGGCTGGAGCGGCGGCGGCGGCAGCGGACACCGGTTCCCCCGCCTCGCTGCGGCCCAGCCCGGTCGGCTGCGGGGCCGTTACCATGCCCCGCCCCGCCCCTGCCGCCCACCCGGACGCCCGCCCTCCTTTCCGCCTTGTTCTCCGCCCCTTGGACTATTGCTTCCGGGACCAGTGGCCAGTGTTGCGTGACCCACGTCTTACGTCATGACGCACCGGAAAAAGGGCAAAGGAGAAACAAGTGAGGGGCTGGGTGTCAGTCGCAAGGGGCGTGGTCAGGGCCGCACCTGCCCCTTGAACTCTTCGGGTGCAGTCACGTGGGCGATTTTACAGAACTGGTGACCTAGGGCGCTGTCAACAGTAGGAGGGGCCCGGCGCTCCCTGACCAGCTGGCCCAGGCTTGCCAGGTGGTCGGAGCGCCCTCTGGGTACACCAAGGTTGCGGGTTCCAGGCATAGAGGGGGGAAAAGGAGGCCCATTACCCAAGGCAATGGCTCAGCCATGGAGAAACAATCCCTGAGCTGGAAGTGCTCTTTCCTTTTTCTCATGCGTAGGGTTAGATGAAGCCCCTCCCCCATCGCACCCTCAACACCACCTTGAAACACCTTGTGGGGGGTGGGGGGGTGCGTGGCGAGCAGGCGCCAGGCCTGGCCAGGTAGCTCAGTTGGTTAGAGCATCATCCCTATAAGCCAAGGTTGTGGGGTCTGTTCTGGGTCGGAGTACATACAAGAATCAACCAATGAATGCATAAAAAAGTGGAACAACCAGTCGATGGTTCTCTCCCCCTCTTCTTCTGTGTCTCTTTCTAGAATCAATAAATCAATCACTAAATAAGTAAAAAGGAAAAACTTGGGGGACTCTGTTCCCTCTAACCAAAGAGCTCCGTGGAAACAAGGAGCTATTTGCATCATCTCCTTGAGTCGCCCTGTCCACGACTCTCAATGCCCCAAATGTGCACATTAAATACGGAACGGAGGCCAGGTTCCATGACCCGGAGGGAGGAGACGGAGCAAGAGAATTTAGACTGTGGGGAATTTAATAAGAGGGGAGGGGCGTGCTGGAGAGGAGAATATAAATATTTCAGCAGCATAATGGGGTAGGGAGAGAGAGTGGAGGAGACCCACAGGATTTGAGGAGCTAAGGGAAGAGCAGAGTTGATTGCATCCAAGTTTATTTTTTAAAAAGAAACATTGCCTACTCTCAACTTGTGGCATGACTGGGAAATCAAAGCAATCCATTAGTAAAGGAGAAATAAAAGCCAGCCGTTGTAAACTCTCAGAGACTTTCAGAGAAATATTGAGCTGACTTAAGTTCCTGAACAAATATATTTTACAATATATAGCTTTATACGCTTCCAAAAATATATTTTATACTCATTGGTATACTTTCGCAACAATATACATGGTGAAAAATACTTCCTGATCCGCTGATATCACTTTCTTTCTTATTTCATAACATCCATAGTCAAAATCCTATGGATTTTTGTCAAAGGGCATAAGATTTATTTTAATGCCATGGATACTGTCAGATTGCTTTTTCAAGTGGCTATATAAATGTAGGGTGGGACAAAACTAGATTTGCACTTGTTTGCAAGGAAAATAATACAATGATGAATAAAAAATAACACAAGAATAACCTCTGTTCCTCATGTTCACAGCTATAAACGTACTTTGCCCCACCCTCTAAGTACCTTTTACCAGCAGTGGCTGAGAGTCCAGGACCCTAGTTCCACATGCCAGCGTGAAGACAAACCACCTCCAGAAACGTCCAATTAGTAGGTTTGGGGAAGCACCCAGGAATCTGAATTGTTTCAAAGTTCTCCATGTAATTTAATAGAAAGTATGATTTGGGAGTCACGGGTCCACCTCGCTGCAGGGTTTACCAGGAGGGAAAAATGAGGGGCAGAGATCAGGAAAGACATTTGATGGAACTCCCTTCTACAAAGGGCCTCAGATTTAAACTTTTCACATTATCCCCAAATATCATTACGAGTAACAGAGACATCCTAACAGGACAGAAAATATAAAGTATTGGTGATTTAACCTTAAATTTATGTCTCATTACCCCACTGGTAATATTTATCATTTAACATATTTTTGTTGTTCGCCCAGTTACATGGTAGAACGTTGCCATCTGTGGTGGAATATTTTAAATTCAATCAAGTCTATAGCGTATGAATAACACACGGCCATCATTCAGTGATTGAAACAGTTCTTTCATCAATATTATTTTCCTGTAAAAACTCTATCCTTTATATCAATCAAAAATACTTCGACGTTCTAATCTTTCTGGGTAGAGAAGTTATTGCATTGTATTGGATAAAAGTTGAAGTATCTCTTTGCTCAGAGTAACTATTGAAAACACCACGTTTTATAATCCCGTGTTGGCATTTCCGCATTCTTGCCTCGTCTTTCCCATTCTCCCCTCCCTCCCTCCCGATCTCTCCCAGCCCCCTTTTCCCCCAAGTCTCCTTCTCCCTCTCGCTTCCCGTCTCACCCCCCTGTCCCACCCCGACCCGCGCCGCGCCGTTCATCCCTCTTCTTCTCTGTGAGCCCACCTCCCCTTCCTCCCCCCGCCCGGCTTTTGCACCCGGTCCGCCTCCCAGGCCCACCGGGTCCGGCTCCGGGAGTGCTGCAGCTCCAACATTGGCCACTAGGGGGCCTCTGCGCGCTAGGCCAGAGAGGAGAGAAACCGTCTTTTCCCCTAATCCAACGTTAACAGAAATACCGTTAATTCTCATTGGTATTTTCAAAAGACGATCCCCAAGCAAACCGAGGGAAAATAATCAGAAATGAAAAAAAGATGCTCCCAACAGCACACAGTGGTTTTCCAAGTTGAAGAGGACTAAAAGCTCCCAGCGTCCCCCTGATAAAACTCAGGGAAGCTAGCTTCCCTGTCCATGGTCCATGCCCAGAGGGGGAATGTTATTTCCTCCCGTCTCCTCAGGCCTTGGGGGGATGAGGACATGCTAATGCCCCTTGTCTCCGTGAGCCACAGCCCTGGTTTTTTCCCTTACCTCTGCCCAGAGCTGGGTTTATTTCTTTACTGGGGCCGTTTGGATTTGAATTGGATTCCTTCCAGGATCCCGTTGTCACATAATTCTTTGTAACACGTTGCAAATATTCCCCCCCCCCCCGCAATCTATTCATTTCTTTGGACTTCACTTAGGGTGATTTTCATGAAATTATTTTTTAAATCGTGTAATCAAATTTATCTTTTCTATTATTACATCTGGGTGTGGTGTCTAGTTAGGAAAGTTTTCCTCACTTCGAGGTCGTAAAGGAGTTAATCTTTATTTAGATCTGTGACATATTTGGGATTTGCCTTTTACACAAACTCTTAAATCACTGCCTGGGCACAAATTCTAATAGTTTGGGATATGCTATTTTCAGGGAAGAGTCATAATAATGGCGAAATGACCATAATTGCTTCTATTCGTATTCAGCACATTACAGTTTAAGGCAGATTCTAATAACATAATAAAAATAAAAATTGACGGTAATAGCTAACTTCCACTACAGCTTGCTAAGTTCTACGCATTTGAAAAGTATAATGTCTTTTGGTCCTCATAATTCCTGTTGAAAACCAAAATTCAGCTAAGTAAACGTGAAGATCTAATTAACTGGCTTGACTAAGTGACTCGTGAACCAGGGAGCCCCTGGAAGGTGCTCTGAGGAGTCACACACAACAGAAGGTTTTTACAGGAAGAAGAGTGGGTCAAAGGCACTATTAACACAGAGAAGAAAAGGTTATTTGGGGGCCAGGACATCTTTTCTCTGGGGAACGAGAACGGGAGGAGGTTTTATTGTTCAGGTCGCCTCTCCTTTCCATGGGGGATGGGGAGGGCCCACGTTGCAGGTTGCCTGACAGCGGACGGGGGGCGGGGGGGGGGGGCGCAGGGGCGGTGGGCAGAGAATTCCAGACTGGCTGATTAAGACTGTTTCTGGGAAAACGTGACAAGAGTCCCTTCACTTGATAAAGCTGACACCCTGAGTGGCACTGGTCCAAGTGATGAGGATTTTCCAAAACGATAAACAACGAACTCTTGGTGAGGTTTGAGCAAATCAAAGCACATTTTTCCCTCAGTTTACACAGTCCTGCCGTTCCTGGACACACGGGTGTATAGCAAAACCATGCAAAAGCATTTCAGCTTTTTGGGGTCCTTCAAAAGTCAGTGTGAGCGGAATTGGTTTTTGTCTCAGACTGTCCCATGCACTGCACACTGTCTGGTGTCTGTGGTCCCCCCACTAAATGTCAGGAACGTCCCCTAATCATTATGAGAAGCCCACAGCGCCCTCAGATTTCCGAAACATCATATTGAGAAACACTTACATGCTTTCTGTCCCAAATAACAGAAATAGACCCATCTACACTTAACACGCAAGTGTCTATTGGCTCCTGTAACTGATCCATCCTGGGGTACAACTTCTGGGAAGGCTTCGACCAGAGTCACACAGGTTGGCCTGCACCTAATTTCTCTATTTCCTACATTCTGGCTCCACTCAGTATTCTCAGCAGAATGTCCTTCACGCTTCACGCGGACCCGTCTCCATCCCTGGACCAACCATGTGGCTGGAAAGGATGGGACATGCTGCCCATCAGAGCCCACGCCTGGAACTGGGGGGACTCAGCCATGCAAACCCCATGGCTGACCCTCCGAGGGATGCAACGCTTTTCCCAGAGGAAGTTTGCAGGGCGCCCCCGACAGGAGAGGGGAGAGGCGCTGAGCGGCCCGCAGTGGCTGACCTCGTTTCTGCCGCCAGGACCTCTGGGAACGGCCCGAAACCCAGCAATTTAACGGACTTCCCAAGAGATTCTCTTAATGGCAAAACAGCTTTTATGGAGACATAATTGAAGTCCCAACAAGGGTTCTAATCTCTCCATACCTTCTTGGGCTTAGTCATGTTTCTTCTGTGGAGAAATGTCTCTTCAGACCCTTTGCCCGTTTCTGAGGTGGGCTGTTCATCTCTCCCTTGTTGAGTGGTAGGAGTTCTTGAAGGATTCTAGATGCCAGTCCTTCATCGGATACATGATTTGCAAACATTTTATCCCATTTGGCACGCTGTCTTTCCATTTTCTTCATGCTGTCCTTGGAGGTAGGAGAGCTTTTAATTTTAACAAAAATCGAACACATCAAACCTCTTTAATCAATTGCCCTTTTGTTGTTGTGCCTAAGAAATTCCAGGAGATCCTTATATATTCCAAAGTTTGAGAGCCAGAGGCCTTTGAAGATATACTTTTATCTATTTTTATTTTTTGTTTAATTTATTTTTAAAGTTTTATTGGGTTAGGCCCTCATCCCGTAGTGGTGAATACAATGGACTGTTCCTATCCTGGGAGCGTTGATGTCTATTGCTGGAGGCATATTAAAAACAGATAAATAGAAAAAACAGACATGCATCATAAGTTGGGGTAGCAGAGGTTAGAGAATCTCTTTTGGATTCATCAGAAAGACCTCTCTCCAAGGTGACATTTAAGCTCATATGCGAAGGGCAGGAAGGATTCTGCCTGTGAATCGGAAGGGGATAATATTCCGTCCAGAAAAGACAGTCTTCTTCACCATTTTGCTTTGACTGGTTTCATGTGGGCTGCTGGGTTGAAAAGATATTTTATACCAAAGATGCCTCGTCTCAGGTCAGTTCCTCAATCAGCATTTAGGGTTCACTTGAACAAGGCCTCTCATTGTTTTAGTTCCAAAGTCTTCGGTGCGGCAGGAACCCTAAGGAGAACGGCTTATGAAATTCATCCAGGAAAGGAGAATTATTATATATCTTTCTCCTAGTTTTTTGAAACAAAAATAATTCCAGCTCAAATCAACCTCGTTTTTCACATGATGGTCACCTATACAGCGATATACAGAGAAATCATTACTTTAATAACGTTTCCGTTTTCTCTGCATTCGATTGATCTCTGTTCACAGGTCAATATTAGCTGCAGAGCAAAGAAAACCCAACCTTAAAAGCATGCATTTGTTCGCAGCAATTTCTGTCCTGAATGCACAGCACGTTCTAGCTCATGAGCGATGGGAAGAAAAACCTTTGTGATAAATAATGTATTTGATAATGAGCAGTAGGAGAAACAAATGTTTTCAGTGGAAAGTTCACAATGGACTAGAGTTAAGTAAGGGATGGGAAGTTTTTGTGTTGCGGGGTGAGATTAGAGATTTTCATTTTTGTCTTGCCGGTTTGCCGGTTCTGCCATACATTTTCACAACTTTCTTGAATACCAACGTTCAAAGGGGCTTAGCTCTCAGGTTCTGTGGCATTAGATGCTTTACTTACATTATCTCATTTCATCTTTTTAACTCTACAGAGAGGCAGCTATGAGTGGGCCTATAACATACACGCCTAAGCCTGGGTTCATAAGGATGAAACAATGTCCCTCCCGGACCCCGGGGCACAAAGCTTAGCCAGTGTCGGAGTCCATTCAAATTTTAAAAAATAAATAAATTACTAGGGATTTCAGACGAAAAGTATGAAATAGCCCAGAGAACAGACTGCTCCTTCAGCACCTTGCTTGCTGGTGACCTAGGCTCGGAGTTTCTGACCAAATAAAGCACCTGTCCTGCAGGAATAGTGAGCCGTCCATTTCCTCTTTTCCTCCCTATTACGCCGTGTCCCTGAAGACAAGCTGTGTGTTTGGCAGGTGCTAGGTCGTCAATTATTGTTTTAAAAGCTGCCTCAGTGGCCTAGTAACAGTAAGAAGGCAGTTCCCACAGTGCCAACCTGCAGCCAGGGGAATAATCAACGCACTCATCAAAGCCGATGGCTTCCTGGGGAATCTGAATCGTGCTCCAGGGACATAAGCAGATTTTGCTGGAGTTTGGTGAACTTAACTTCGTACCCGATTCTTTGCGGCCCTGTTTCTCCCTCCCTCCCTTTTTTAAAGTAGTTTTACTGTTTGCTTCAACTTTTCGTCCCCTGGGTCGATTTGCTGCACTGAAAACGCTGGAGACGGGAACTAAACCTTACGAGCGGGCTGCGTTCTGTCCTGCGAACTAGCAGCGCCAGTCTGCGTGCCTCGCGCCGGCAGCTCCCGGCCTCTGGGTTGAGAGGGAGGGAGCGGCAGGCTGGTAAAAGTCTGTTTATATCCGCCCCGCCACCCCCACGGGCTGCGGGGTCCTCCCAGGCTGGCTTCTCGGAGGCGCCCCTGTGATGCTCCCGGGGCCCGCGGCAGTGCCCGCCACCCCGCGGACGCTCACACGTTGGTCGGATGAATGAAAGGTGAGCGGGGAAGGCGATGCCAGGAGTCCAGGCGGGGCTGGAGGAGAAGACGGGGCTGTGCGGGGCCTCCGGGAAGAATCCGAAAGTACGAGTGTGATGCAGAGAGAAATGGAGAGGGGACGTCCCAGTGGCTGGAAGTGGGATGGAGGGACAGGACCTGGAAGGCCCGGGCAGGGACCACAGAGGTTTGCGGGAGCCGAGTGGGGCGAACCGAGCGGGTAAGGGCGAGACAAAGAGCCAGCCGCTGCCGAGGCCGATCGTGGGAAGAAATGGAAAAGGGGCGGCGGGGGGTGGGGTGGGGGAGGGCGCCGCGCAGGAAGGGGCGTGAGGGCCGAGGGGGGCAGCGCCGGGCGGGGCGCTGGGGGCGGAGGCGCAGGCGGCGCGAAGTTCCCGGCCTGCGCCCGGCGGTCCGCGTGCTGGCGGCGGGGCGGGAGGAGCGAGCGGGCTCGGGGCTGAAACCCGAAACCTCCGGTCCCCGCGCGGCCCGGAGGAAGGAAGCGGCGGCGGCGGCCAGGCGGGCGGTGGCCGGTCAGGCCCTGCGCTGCCGCGCGGCGGCCCCTCGGTGAGCAGAAGGGACGCGGGGCGGGGGGCTCGGGCGGGGATGGAGCGCGGCCGAGCTGGGGTTGCAGGGCGGGGATGGGGCCTGGGCCGGGGGTCTCCACGTCCCTGCCCCGCGCCTCGCCGTCCCCTCGGAAGTACCCCCAGCCCCACCCCGCGTGGCTTTTGGAGCCGGAGCTCTTTGTGGAAGATCTTGCGGGCGCGCCCCTCCCCGGCGGGCAGGGGTTTCCGACTGGCCCTGCCCGCAGCCTCGCCCAGTTTCTCCGACGCCGCTCAAGCCTCTGCCAGGACCCCCCGGGGAGGGAGGACGCGGTGCGCGCCGCGGACCGGCTGATTGGGGTTGTGGGCCCATGGGCTGAGGGGCGTCAGGCGTGCTCGGGGACAGGTGTGTGGGGCAGAGCGGCCTCGCCCCCGGGCTGGAACCCGTGAGCACCAGGTGAGCAGCATCCTCCAGCGGGGTTCAGGGCGCTGTCTCGCCACGCCGGGCGGCGCGGGGTGGGGGTGGGGGGCGCGCCCAAAACTCGCCGGGCTGCCCTGGCGCCTCTGCCCCTCAGTTCTGCGAGAGGGAGGTCCGGTTACCTTTGCGGGGACCCCGCCAGCCTTCGGCGCCTCTCGAGTCAGACCGTAACCCCGTGGAACCTTTGACAAAGGCCTGCGGGATGAGAATGTCGGCGGGATGGCCGGGGTGTCTGGGTGCGCTTCCGAGACTTCTGCTCTCCTGCAGCCGCGCCGCCGCGCACTGGCCTCACTTTAGGTCACGTCTTTGAGCATATTTTTTGGTGCTGTTTTGTACCTTTGATTGGTTTTTGCCAAGTGCTCTCAAAGGCAGGTCGTTTGAAGTCGCGAGCGGTGTGGTTTTGGAGGGAAAGGACCGTAGTTGCTGGATGTGTCCAGTGGGAACAATGGTAAGTAACACGGGGCCGGCGTGTGCCCGCGCGCGGGCCTCTTACCCTCAGACCCGGACCTGGAGCGTCCTGGGAAGAGCTAGTGCATCTGGAATAGGTGGCTTTCCCTTCGAATCATCCCACGGCAGCCACTTGGTGAGACCGGTGAGGAGAAGCGTTTCCCAGGCCCCGGGAGCAGAAAGAGGGGATGGAAGGGACCTTAGATCACGCAGTCCAGGCACTTAACTCCAGCTCTGTTTAACTGAGATTGCTGCCACCCATTTGGGTCACTTCCTCCAGAGCACCCCTCTCCGGCTGTCCTCGGCTGCACGCCCTCCTTATTTTATACTTGTGAGAGACTTTCAAGCACTTGCGCCTGCTTTTTTGTTTTATTCACAAAACAGCGCTGTGAAGCGGTGTAGACTCGCGAGGAGGGGAGGGGTTCCGCCCTGGAGCAGTGGTTCACTGGTGGGAGCTCCCTCCTGAAACCGGAGGGTTGCAAGTTCAGTTCCAGGTCAGGGCACATGCCTAGGCGGTGGGTTCGATCCCCGGTCCCAGTGCGTGCGATTCCCAGCCTGGGCGCTTACAGGAGGCAACTGACAGATGCTTCTTTCTCGCATCTTTTGACCTGAGTCCATCATGGGCGTGGCCCTGAACTCTGAAGACTTGTCCCTGTCCTGCTGCTTCCCTGCCTGGCAGGGAGGTTAGGGGCCCTGCATAGAGAGGCCTGCCTGGCATTTTAGAAGCTGAACCCCAGGTCTCAGCTACGCAAGTCGTCCTTAGTTGCAGCCCTCCGCGGTGGGAGTCTGAGAGACGGAGCTGGGCCTTGCGGCCAGAGGGGCCGAGCTCTTTGTTTGGGCTGGTGGAAGGCAGAATGGGCGGAACCGAAACCGACCTGAATGCCAGCCAAAGGAGGGTCACTTGTGTGGTGTAAACTCTGTGCCAGCCAGGCCTGCAGGAAGGCCGGTGGGAGGGCGGGGCGGGGTCTGTGTGCAGGGCTCGCCTCCCTCCTGCCTGCCCTCCCGTAGGGCGAAGGGGCAGGTGCAGGCACAGTGCGGCCTGATCTGAAATCGAGGGGGGCGGGGCTGGGGGGAGAGCTGTACATTTGTATGGGGAAAAAACTCGACTTTTTAAAGTTGGCAACTAATTCAAAACATTTTTCAGGGTGCGCAGGCAGGTTGTGGCCCCCGGTGGCCAGTGTGCACCCGCGGCGTGAGCCCTTAGCAGGGCTCACTGTCCTCCTGGGATGCAGTCAGCCTCGTCTGGAGCGGGGACGGCGTGTCTTCTCGAGGTTTTTCTTTGAGAACAACAAAAACAAAATCGACAAAACTGGAGAGGGCTGTGTCCGGGACCCGGCACCTGGAGGAGGAATCCCTGACTTTGTGACTCAGTCGCCCCGTGAAGTTTTTCCCCAGTTTCTCCTGGAAGTGTTTGTGATTCCATCAGTTTGTGAGGCTCTTTCTAAATTCTGGACTTTCATCCTTTTCTCGTTAGTAAGTCAGAGGTCTTGCCTTTTTGTGTCACCTTTGCTTATTGTACCTTTGTGCAGAAGTATTTAATTTTTATGTGCTTAAATCTATACTGATTTTCTTTGTGGCTTCAAAGTGTTTTGCTTTGGAAGTCCTTGCCATCTTAAGGTTAAATTTTCCTAAATTTTCTCTTCCTTCTGCATTCTTCCTTTGCTATTTTTTTATTTAAAAATATTTTGTTACTGTTTCTCTTCCCTTTTTTCAGTTTCTCGCCTTTCTGGCACCGGGGAGGTCAGGCTTCTCTTGGCCGGTGAGCCCTTCAAGCCAACGTAGCGTCTGAAAGTCCTTTCGTTTTCATAATGACTTTTTTTACCAAGGTTTTTTTGTTTGTTTGTTTTGGGGGTTCTTTTTTTTTTTTTTTTTTTTTTTTACTTTTCCATCCTTTCTTCCATTTAATGTTTAAAGAAATGGCACTGTAATCTGTCATATAAATAACTAAACCGAGGAAAGATACATCTACCTGAGGAACAAGGGAAATCCACAGAAAGAACGTTCTGGTAACAGAAGTAATTATCGGGCCAAGCGGGGGTGCAAGACAAAGAAAACTCTCACCTGATGCTCCCTCTGGCATGACTCACCGCATCTCAAGGACGAGCTCTCCTGCAGGTGGGAGAAGAGGCGGAAGGGGCACCTGGACCGTGGGAGCGTTATCGGGGGCAAAGCCACGGAGCTGGAGAGCAGCTCCCTGGGTGGGTGACCCGGCGTGGCCGCAGTGGAGGGTATGCTAATGCGGACAGTCTGCGGGTGCCAGAGAATGACAGCACATGATAGGGCTCGCCTAGGGGACCGTCGGCCTGGCAGCGGGTGGGAGTGGGGGCGAGATCAAAGATACAAAGATGAGATGGAAGCATCTGCCAGTCCTGGGGAAGATGGCAGACGGGGACGCTGGGGCGGCGGCGATGAGGAGGCGGCTTCGAGAGGCGTGAGTGTGAGAGGCCTGGAACCAGCCAGCACTGGCCGCGCGGCGCACACGATCTTACTGAGCAGGTCCACACGGGAGTCCTGGGCTCAGCCCTGTCCGTCCACCGACCAGGTCCCGGGACAGCGCCGGGCAGGGCCTCACGCCATCGGCATTGCCTGGCAGCAGTGGCCCGGGGCGTCCAGGTTTCCGCCTGAGAGATGGGGGGCGTGGTGGTGGTTTCTTTCTAGGGTCGAGCAACACGAGGAACAGCCCGTCGAGCCGGTGGGGTGGCGATGGGGATTCCATTCTGCACGGGTCGCACCTGAGGCTCCTGATGCGACACGGGGGACAGAAGGCCCCCTGGGCGGGTGGCCCTGAGCCGGGCGCTCCGGAGCATCGTCTGGGCTCTGGATGCAGATTTTGGAGTCGGCGTCGTTTCAGTGGGCACAGGGAGGAGGCTTCGGCGGGGAGAGGGGACACCAACTAGGGCTCCCTTTATTGCTCAGTTAGGGTTTACATCCAGTATTATTTTGTATTTCTTGCAGGTGCGCAGCATAGCGGTTAGGCAGTCAATGTGCTTTAAAAAGTGGGAATAGGACTCTCTCTTTTTTTTTTTTTTTTGCAAGGGCACCAAATCCAGTTGAAATCGACTTAAGCAAAAAGGGGAGTTACTGGCTCAGCGCGCTGAAGAGCTCAGGAGTGAGTCTGGCTTCAGGCGTGGGTCCAGGACTGAACGCGCTTCGTCGGGTCTGCTTTTCTCACTGCCTCGGGCCTCGGGCCTCGGGCCTGGGCCGCCCCTTGTGGCCGGGGCCTGGGGAAGCTGCGCTCCACCTCCGAAGGGAGCTCTCCCCCGCAGCTACCCCCGCCACTGTCCTCAGAAGCCGATTGGGCGGAGGGAGTTGGGTTATGGTTGACGTACGTTGTGTGTCACCTCCGTGAACTCGGACTATGAAAGGCTGACCCACAGGAAACTTAGGCACCTACATGTACAAGGGCCGGGATGGAGAGGAGGCAGCCAGTGCCTTTCCCCCGCAGCTGAGAAAGGAAGGAGCCCCCCACAGCATCTTGGGGAACCGTAACCCGCACAGGGCAGCGGGATGGCGGGTACGAGAGACCGGGAAGGGACGA